AACTGTCTCTTATTTCTTAATTTTTGCTCCTATAGTTTTTATTTTTCGTTTATGAATTCCTATACGTGTGTTATTCTGGATGACGATGGGTAGTAGAATATGTCATATGAGATTTAGTTATAAGCAAAGTCAGGTTAATAAAAGTTTAGATGATGCAACACGTCATCGCTCAACAGCTACTACTGATGCAGGTCAATCTGAGACGGAAGCCGTGGAGAAGGAAGTTAAGAATGCTAATGCTGCTGTAGGAGGTCAATAAGTAACAAACGAACACGAAATATTGTCGTGCGGGTAACTTATTGTTCAATGAAGCAGTTTTAGTAATGTTATTTTTTTCACTTTAATGAAAGAGAGTGCCTCTCAAGCTATTTCATTTGTATTTCAAAGATGGAGTCGCATTCTTGAACGTGCTCCTTTGTATGTCTAACGAATAAATTATCTTTTATTGCTAACGAATGTTTTAAAATTTATGGGGGTATTTGCATTGTAAGAGACATAAGCAACATTTTATGAATGTTATTCTCTCATCTTGAGTTTCCATCTCGTTGTTATCATGTGGGTATTTCAGGGGCTTACTGAATTCCAACTGGTTTAGATAATTAGAGTAAGATCTGCATTCCTTTAGGGTCTATTAATTCATTTTCTTGCTGCAAAGGAGGCTTTTTAATCAAAATTGTGTTAAGAAATTGCTATGCAAATAAATAGCAAATATGGACGTACAAATAATGCATAATATTGGTACGAAAAATCAGCTTGTTCTCATTATTCAGTAAACATTGCTGACAATAACATGCTTATTCTAAATATTGGAGAACGTATATATTCACATGAATTATATGATAGCAAAACACCACTGTCGAAATAATGATTTAATAAACATTATATAACATATTCAATAAAATAAAGAAAATTTTCCATATTTTACCCAGATGGAGTACTTTAGGGAGGTTTTTTTTTTTCTGTAGTATTCACAATAACACTTAGTCATATCTGGTAAAATTTATGGTATATTCAAAAAACGAATTATTTCCCGGTCGGGATAAAAAACTTGTTTAAATACCGTATTACGTATATCAGTACGATGCTATTCCAGTTGTGTTTTCTGGAAAATTATTCGGAATACTCTTACTAATAGACTATGAAAGAGCAGGCAGGGTAGGGGTTTTTTTTTATTTATTTGAAGAAAATTGATAACAAGGATGACATTCTAATTTATAGTCCTTTTTTTCTGTACGACGATAAAAAAGAATCACATCGGATTAATTTGACTTCCAAAATAGATGAGCACATTGTACGACACAAGACATATCCTGAAAAGACAATATCTTCCATTTTTTTTTTCTAATTTCAATTATATGATAATACTGGTTAGAAAAAATGATAGAAGATGGTTAAATGAATTAGCATTGAAATTTCGTTTTAATTTTAATAATTGAACAATATCATAATCATCATACAAACCTTCATAATTTCGTCAAAAGAATACTGGCTGAGCAGAGCTAAACAGTTTGTTACTGTTACAGTGGTACACTGAGACTGAAATGAATTTAAATTATGTTTTTTCTTCAGTATATTAATTACAGTAAAAAGAATATTAGTAAATAAATTTCCTATTAAAAATATTTAAATAAATAGCGAAATTTTAAATATTTTATATATAATAACTTGTTTTTATATTGCAGTTACGAAAAAGTTTACAGAAGTATTTTATTTTATCAATCATGTCAGAAAAAAATTTTACAAAATTATTTTATTCTATTAATTACGTACTCCTCTGGTGGTGCACGAACAATACTGACAAGGTGATATGCGTTTTGTTATATCAAGTGCTATCGTTATATTACCAACATAACAAAGAGCTGAAAATTGTTAAATTTTATTTATTTTTTCATTAATTTTTATTCATTTTACAAAAATTCAATTAATTCAATAATAAGCATAAAGGAATGTAAAGAAAGACAGAGAGAGAGAGAAATGCAAGAAAAAAAGAATGCGGAAAATGTTTTTGATAAAGATATTGTTAAGAATCATATAATTAGCTTAACCTAAACAATTATTTAAAGAAATTTTAATGCGAAATAAAACTAACGCCGATCAAACCATTGATCCAAACTGATATGTTTGAATTTAGAACATGAAATTGGAGCATTTCTAAAATTTATCCATTTTAATTTATGTCATATTTTATAATGTTAACCAGTTAATCTAATAATCTACTTACTTAACCGGCTATATTAGCGATTTTCAATATTGAGCTAAAAAAGCAATGATATGATCAAATTTAATTCACACTCGGATTTCTGATAGTTATTTACCATGCACTATCAAGTAATATCCGAATAACGATTTAGATGCAAACTAAAGAAATTCATAACGATGATGTTTGTAATCCTATTAATTAACCTACTAATGACTTGTTTTGAATTTTATTAGTCGACTAACAAAATTAGCACCATTTTTTCAAACCTATTTTAAAAACTTAAAAAAAAAATTTTAACATGTTCCAATACTGTAAAAACTGCTACTAAGCCAAACTTCAAGATGATTATGATTTGATAATTAAAGTTAAAAACAATTTATAATTAAAATTAAATTTATTGTTCGAATAGGAAGAGTAAAATTACACGAATTGATCAGGTAGTAAAAATGCGCTTGGTTGTATATTAATTAGCATTCGACTATTAGTACATAAAAGTGAAGCTAATGTTACTTTCCTGATTTCATTCAGCTGTCCTGAAATTTTAATAATAATCTGACTTCTGAAATTTGAATAATAAATCAGCAATTTAATGCAGTTCCATTTAATTTAATCCTTTCATTTGCTGCAAAAAATATATTCGAATAAAATGTGCATAGGAGAATATTGCTATAAAATACTTCAAACAGATTATTAATTAGTATTAAATTGGAAATAAATTTTTTGAACAATTTATTGTACTTCAATTTAAAATGCTCGAAGAGTTTCCCATATTTAACCAAAATAATAAAATTATTTTTTAAATGATTTCAATCAATATTTACTATCAATCCAAGAAAAAGTTTTTTTTTAGTATTATGTTGTAAAAAGATATTTATGCATGAATATGGTAA